CTCCTAAAGAACCTTCCATAAATATTTTTGCATCACCTTCAAATTCTCATACTCCAGGTAACCATTCCTTCATGAATTCATGACAGAGAAAATCCTACATTTGACAATTTCAAATCACCAAATTGTTTTGTACTTTTTTTCAGATAAAATACATACTTCCTGCCAAAGTCCCTAGTACCTTCATCCCTTGTCATCTGGTTTCTGCCTCCCAAAGTTATTTTAGACATTAATAGAAACCATTGGACAGATATGTATATGTGTGTGTGAGAGAGAGATAAATGCAGGAAATTGAACCCAGGGCATTTTACCACTGAGCTATACCCCCAGACCCTTTTTTAAAAATTTTTGAGATAGGGTCTTGCTGAGTTGCAGAGGCTGGCCTTGAAATTGTGATCCTCCTGTCTCAGCTTTCCAACTTGCTGGGATTACAGATATTTGCTACCACGTTAGGGCAGAGCTAATACCACTGTATAGTGATATTTTCAAGTATAAATTCTTAAGATTGGGGTTGGGTCTGGGCTCAGCAGCAGAGTGCTTGCCTCACATACGTGAGGCACTGGGTTCTATCCTAAGCACCACATAAAAAATATATTTTATCCATCTACAACTAAAAATATTTTTAAAAATTCTTAGATTGTAATCAAAATTGCTTTCCAGCATTAAAAAAAAAAAAAACGCTGCTAATGAGGGAAAATCTCGTGCAATTGTTTAATATTGTGCTCTTCCAAGTTGTTGACTTACTCTAAATTTTAAAAGGTTTGCATAAACCCCTGAAGTTTATCCTGTAAAGCAAATAAAATTAGGACTTGAGTGGAAATTATCTCAACCTACAGTTGTTTCAGGGATGTTGCAATGACAGAAAACATTTCTGAAATTCCTTCCCAGCCTACTTTATGAGCTATCTTAAAATGATTCATTACTTCAGAATTATTTTTTAAAAATTTAGTCAACCTTATCATGCATCGCCTGTTTTGTTCCAGATGACTACTGGGATTCCTAGTACTAGAATTTCTTGATCTCCTCTGGGCAGATAATTCCCCAATTCATGTCCTTAGCTCTAGTTTCTTGCTCTTAAACTCCAGATCCATTTCCTGGATTTTCCAATCCAGTTCTCCAAATTAACTCAAAACTACTCATCCTCTTCTCCCTATTCAGGTTAATGACACCATGTTCTCATCAACTTATACTAGAAACCTGTCTTTTATCTTTGACTCATTTTTGTTTATGTGTAATAGTTAGAGGCTCAGGTTCTAGAATGATTTTTCTGGGCTCAAATCCTAGTTTTGATTATTAACTCTGTGAACTTTGCCTTCTGCTTCAATTTCCCCACATAAAAAATGAAGTTGATGATAAAACCTCTTAATTAAAAAGTTGTTGGGCCAGGGACATGTCTGCAGCCCCAGCTACTTAGAGTTTGAGGCAGGATGGTGGCAAATTGGGGCTAGCCTGGGCAATTTAGTAAGACTGTCTCAAAATGAGATTGTACTTCAGTGGTAGAGTGCTCCAGGTTCAATCCCCAGTATGGAGCAGTATGGAGCAGCAACCCAGTATGGGTGGATTAGTGGGATTATTAAATTAATATCTAATATTTAGAACAATGCCTGTCTCACAGTAAATGCTCAATCTGCCCACTACCCCTTTTCTTTAATGCCAAATGTGACTGGTTCAGAATTCAGCTCATGATTCCAGAGAAGCCTTCCCCTTCATGTCCTTCAAATAGATAGATGACTCCTTTCTTGACCTGTTATATTTAGTCCCTATCTATTAGCAACATACTATACTGCATTTCTCATTGTTTAAGTTTACATTACCTAGTAAGCTGCAAATTACATCTTATTTTTCAATTATTTACATACTTCAAATGCCTGGCACCATGTCTAGCACATGACAGATAGTTTCATTGTTGGGCTGAGAAAAATCTAATCAGTTAAGACCTTATTTATTTTTTCTTCCCAAATGTCTCTTGTCCCTTCTTTCCTGCTATATTTCAAGGGCTTATTCTCTCTGCATAAATTACTGGAAAGCTTGTTAATATTGCTGACACCAATTTGTTTTCTTCTCACAACCACCAGAATCAGTTGAAAGCCATTCCTCCTCTCAAAAACTTACCTGTAAAATTAAAATCCAAATTCCCTATAATGCAACTTCAATAACTGGCCTCAAATTATTTCTACTAACCTTTCATTAGATCCTTTGATAAATTATGCTCCAGATTATATCCTATTGTTTTCCTTCACTTTTTTAAAAAAATATTTTTCTTTAATTGTAGATGGACATAATGACTTTATTTATTTATTCTTTTATGGTCCCGAGGACCGAACTCAGTGCCTCACATGTGCTGGGCAAGTGCTCTACCACTGAGCCACAACCCCAGCCCATAACTTCACTTTTTAAAAAAAATTTTTTTGTGATACTGGAGATTGAACCCAGGGGCACGCTACCACTGAGTCTATATATATATTCTTTAGTTGTAAATGGACCTTTATTTTTATTTCTTTATATGAGGTGCTGAGAATTGAACCCTGTGCCTCACACATGGTAGGCAAGTGCTCTACCACTGAGCCACAACCCCAGACCCAGGTCCTTTGTATTTAAGACAAGATCTCACTAAATTGCTGAAGCTGGCCTTGAACTTGGGATTCTCTTCCATCTATCTTCTGAATAGCTGATATTATAGGCATGCACCACTGCATCTGGCTATCTCTGTTTTGTTTTTATTGGCAATGGGGATTGAAACCAGGGGTGCTCTTTCACTGAGCTATATCCCCCCCCTTTCTATTTTGAGACAGAGTCTCACTAAATTGCCAAGTCTGGCCTCAAACTGAATCCTCCTGCCTCAGTCACCCATGTTGATGGGATTACAGGCATGTACCACTGCACCTAGCCCTTCAATTGTTTTATATTGTGATCTCAAAACAGGTTGCAATGTTTTAGACCTTTAAGCATGTTTTGAAGCATTTTCTTTCTTTAAATATTCTTGGTTTTAGGTGGACACAATATCCTTATTTTACATTTATGTGGTGCTGAGGATCGAACCCAATGCCTCATGCATGCTAGGTGAGCACTCTACCACTGAGCCACAACCCCAGCCCCTTGAAGCATTTTCTTTTTTTTTTTGTTCTTTTTTTTTTTTTTAAGCATTTTCTTAAAGCAAGCCAAGATTTAAAAGTTGTGAGATGTTACATGTTAGGATGTCCAGAGATTTTTTTTTGAAAAATCATTAAAATTGGTAATATTTGGTACTTATTCTTGTATGGCACACCTACACTGCCAGGTGTCTTCTCTCAAGGTATGTATTTTTGGGGGCTGGGGTTGTGGCTCAGTGGTAGAGCGCCTGCCTGGGATGTATAAGGCACTGAGTTTGATCCTAGGCACCACACAAAAATAAAGGTCCATCTACAACTTAAAAAAAAAAAATTAAATAGAAAAGATATGTAGTTTTCATTTAGCCATCTTTAAAAAAAAATCTTCCTACAACTGTACGGTGAAAAGATCAAACTAAAGGTGGAGCAATCGAGCATATCTTCTGATGTTAAGAAATAAAGACTCTCCTGTGATGTCTTCTATCCTCAGAAATGTTTTGCTTGAATCTCTCAAGATTCTAAATTTGTTAAGTAAAACAGGGATTAGAGGAATCATTTTAAGTACTCTCTGTAAAAGCATCCAGTCAGTGTTGGAGCCCTTGCCTGGCATGTGGCCCTGGAGTCAGTCTCCAGCACTGGGGGGGCGGGGGATGCCACAGTGGCACACACCCCTGGTAATCCCAGCAATGTGGGTGGCTGAGGCAGGAGGATAGCAAATTCAAGACCAATATTAACAATTTAGCAAGACACTGTCTCAAAATAAAAAATGCTTGGGGCAGGGCTATAGCTCCATGGCAGGGCACTGTGAGGCACTGCATTCGATCCTCAGCACCACATAAAAAATAAATAAAATAAAGGCATGATCTCTGCCTACAACTACAAAAAATTTAAAAAATAAAAATAAGTAAAAAAATAGAAAAAGCTGGGAATGTAGCTTAGTGGTACAATCCTGGGTTCAATTATCAGTCCCACCCCCCCATCCTGCCAAAATAAAAGCAGTCAATCTATTGAAAAGACAATTCTCCAGGACAACTGGCCTAATCTCTTGAACAAATTAGTATTATATAAAAAAGGTTGTTCTGGGAATTCAGATAAAGAAGGTATACTGGGCCAGGTGCAGTGATGCACACCTATAATCCCAGCAATTTGGGAAGCTGAGACAGGAGGATTCCAAGTTCAAGTTCAAGGCAAACCTCAGCAACTTAGGAGGGCTCTAAGCAAAAATAAAAAAAATTAAATAAAAAGGGCTGGGAATGTGACTAAATGGTAAAGCACTCCTGGGTTCAATTTCTTATACCACAAAAAAAAAAAAAAAACCACTGGTTTTATTTTCCTCTGTCCATACATTACTAGTAACCTTAGCATACTTATCATAAGGCATCTTATGATATATTCATTGCCATTAGGGAGTAAGTTCTTTGAAGGTAAGTGCCATTTTACCACATGAATACCCCAAGCCTCCCATTCTCACTGTTATCTTGCAGGATAGACATTCAATGAATATATTTCCAAAAACAGTTCTACCCCAAAGGAAGAAGATATGGTACCATTCATAACATTCCAAAGAATGAATAGCAGGTTCTCAAAGTAATTTTGGAGGAATTTCGGGGAAAACAGGACTAGTAGTATTACTTGGGTAGAAATATTGCTCTTAAGCTCTATGTTGTGATGTGCCCATCATTATGTTCTAATCATACCTTATATATATCAAAGTATTGACTCAGTGCAGGAATGCCTTTTCCCTCCAACTCACCAGTTTCTAGAATATTATTAGACTTACATTCGCTGCATGACAAATGCTCAACAAACATAAAATATAATTGTGTGGGGAGTTCCTTCTCATGATGTGGAGAAGGTGGTGCCAGAAAATGCTTAGAAAAAGACTATCTGTTTGATGACCACAGCAGGTATAGTTGCTTCAGGTTCCCTTCCTCACATTTATTTTCTTGGTTAGGAGGTATCAGGGAGTGGAGGCCTCTCTGCCTGCAATGAAATTCCAGATTTCAAAGCAAAGGTGCTTGTGGGATAGGGGGAAAAGGTGTGCACCTTCTACAAAAAGTAACCCCAAGCCTAGCAACACAGAGAAGACATGGAATTTAGGGTAAAGGCACACCTTAGAAAGAACACAGTTCAGATCACTGGAGAGAACTTTGGCTGATACAGAATAAGAGGAGGGGGAGGATGCAGGAGAGCACACAGAGCGAAGCAGATGTAAAGTACGCACTATTCCTAGATAGATAGCTTCCAAAACAAAGGTCAGACCTAAGGTAAAGGTAAGGTTTACAAAGCAAGGAGAAGGGTAATTAAGAGTGGAAAAAAAGTCAAACAGATGAGAAACTTTACCAAGTAATGGTGAATTAAGAATTTAGAGGATTGAGTGAAAGGTTTATTATTAGTGCAGTCAACACAATGGAAGAGCATGTACAACACAACCAGCAACCTGCAGAGACACTAGTGCAAAGGGTAGGTAGGGAAGCCTCAACTGAGCTTTCCAGCTCCACCTGAGGGTTAAGGACAGGAGACTGTGAACCTTGGTAAGGAAGGAAGGGGCAAAAGGAAATGTAACCAGACTAATAATTATAGCAGTGTCTGCAAATTCCTGAGCACCATGTCCTAAAGCTAGAATATGGCTGGTTCCCTACTCCCCTCAAGCTGTATCCCTCCTCCCCAACTGAAGTGATGCCATGACTTGACTATCCAGACCAATAGCAAGTTGGCCTGGAATAAAATTCCAAAAAGAGAAGCTGTTATATGGTGGAGAGAAGCCCTTTGATTTTTCTCAAACCCCACTCCCACATATTTCATATTAAAATAATCACACCTACTACCTTCCCCTTCACTTATTCTGTCAGTCACTAATCAGAGGGATCAAGGAATGCCTCAGGTAGCATAAAATGAAGTTGAAATCCTTAAGTGGACAAGGGTGAGGCAAAGCACAGCCTGTTCTTGGAGACACAAGATAATTCTTACCCCTTGCCTGGTGAGGCTTAGAACCCAGCTATACAGTTCCAGGGAAACTTGAGAAGGAGATGCACACCGCCACCCCCCCCCATTTTTTTCTTGGTACTAGAGACTGAACCCAGGGTATTCTACCACTGAGCCAAATCTCCAACCCTTTTATATATATATATATATATATATTTTTTTTTTTTTTTTTTTTTTTTTTTTAATTTTGAGACAGGGTCTTGCTAAGTTGCAGAGGCTGGCCATGAACTTGACATCCTCTTTCCTTAGTTTTTTAAGTAGCTAAGACTATAGATGTGTTTCATTGCACCCAGCAGATGGATGCCTTCAAAATTAATATTCTAAATCCAGGGTTTTACAATAAGACCCTAAAGGGCTGGAAGCAAATTTCTTCAGGGGCACAGGCATTGATGTTGTGTGTCACATCCATCATGGGAGTAGAGGAATAACTCCTCATCTCAGATAGGTTATGAAGTGTCAGAGCAGGTATAAATTCAGTCAAGGACTCCCTTGGCTCTTCCTATGTTAAAGCCAAAGGTTGTGCTGAAAAGGAAAAATATAAAACAGACTCCTCCCTGTCCCACCCTATCCAGAACCCCCACAATACGAACAACAAAAGAAAAGTTTTTAAGTTTTGTTGATATTTTTTCTTTTTTCCTTTCTTAAAAAAAAAAAAAGTAAATAAATTAAATTGCCAACAATGTGGCTGGACTAGCAAGTGGGATAGTCATAACCAGGCCATTCTTTTTTAAAAAAAGGGGGGGAGGGGGACAGATGTGATTTGTGAAATATAAACAAACAACAGCCAAAGGAAATTTATCAAAATAACTAACTACAATCACAGGTCTAGAGAGGGGTGTATGGAACTATTATGGGCATGACACAAGAGGCAGTATCTACCTGACTTCAGCAAAAGCCAGAGAGCAGCTTCTTGCTGAGCATATGAACCTCAACAGTCAAACCCCTACCCCAAACCCTGTCATTCCCTAATTATGAAAAAGTGGAAAACAGAGCTCATCTGGAAATTTCCAGCACTCCAACCTGTGCACCTGCAGACCCAGCAGGAGCCTGCACCTTTAAGGTGGGCTGAACAGGGATGTGCTTGGCACAGAGGTCCAGTCTTCCCCTAAGGGCTATCAGTGACGGCCAATTACTGGCTTATTTACTTCTAGGGTTTTGGATCCACCCTTACCTTTTCTTCTAGATGTCTGTTCCTCAGAGCTGCCCTATAAATGCTGCTTAGAATCAACAGGCCAGCCTGCTCTGATTCCCTGGTTTTAGAGTACAGGGATGATTAGCAATTCCTCATTCCAGCCTGATCCTCTAGGGAAAATAAATCTCTTTGTGCTTTCTGAAAATACCTGGAACCAGGGACCCTAGGCAGGAAAATACATAGGTGGGGACTTTCCCACCCATGCTGAGAATTAACAGACATTTTAGGAGAAGAAATATGGCAAAAGGCAGGAATCTGGGTTTCTCCCCTGAAAGGCTGAGCAAAGTGCTCCAGGGCCCTTCAGTGCCAGAACAGCAGGGAGATGTGTGGCTCAAGTGTAAGCCGAGGCATTAAGGAGAGTGGGGAGGACGACTCAAGGCCCAGCTGCTGGAGTGATGGGGTTTTCCCGATTTCCATCTCTTCCTCATAGCTGGTCGAACTCTCCTATATCTCCTCCACGCCATGAGCAAATATCATGACAAGCCCTGGCTCCTGCACCATGTCATCACCCATATGCTGATTTTCACAGGCCATCACAACAACAGCCTGCTTGCCAGGGATGCGCTTGGCCACGTAGTTCTCATAGTAGCGCCGGTTCATCTGTCTTGTCTCTAGTGTGGCCAGACCCTGGGGCCAGCTGCGTTCGTGGGCATTTTCAATCAGCTCGTTGACAATAGAGGCAGGGCAGCCACTCTCCACCAGGGAGCGCTTGATTACAGCCTGGAGCACAGCATCTGGGGTCGAGATCATCCCTCCCCAGCGGGTCACTCTAGCCGGCTGCAGGGAGTTCACCCACCTGTGTGGAAGGGGTTGGTGGTGGTCATTTCAGCTCATTACCTTTCTCTACTTTGGCTTTTTTTCTTAAGAGGAATGACCACCCACTCTGCAGTTAGCTAGCCTCTACTCTTCCTTCTCTTCCAGTACTGGCTCAGAAACCCCAAATCTTTCCCTAGATGATCACATCCAAGTCACCACAAGTTATTCACCAATTAAATTCCATGAGTCTACACTATCCTTGAATTTTCTTTGAAATCCTAAATGCTTAGCACATATAGTGCCTAGCACGCAGTAGGTGCTCAACAAATGTTTATTGATTCCTCTATACTGTGTCCCCGCTAGGCACTATTGCCCTATATATATCAATTCACACTTACATTTAGTCTATGAACTGTATAGCACTCCAGAACTGAAAGGGATCTTAGACTTCACTTGTTTTTGCGGCATTTTAGATCACTTTCCTGGATTTGTACTCTCCCTCTTCTTCTCTGGGTTGTAAGCTACCTGAAGACAGGGACAATATCTTCTATTTCTTTTTGGCCCTCTTATGACTCCACAGCTTTTAAAACAGGGCTTTGTTCTTGGTGGTACTCACCTAGTTCTGGAAAAACTGCATCCTTGGGCAGGATTCCCTGTCCATCCACCCAAATGAATAAGAGATCCTGTCCTGGAATTGAGGGTTATCCTCTTCTCCTCTGCCTTTGTCCTTCACCCAAATCTGAGAAGCAGTGGCCCTAGCCCAGCTTTCTTATTGCCCTCCTCTGCCACTCCCCTGTTATTCCTCCTTTCAGGCTTTGGTGCCAGGACGTGGAGTCTGACTCCATATCCTGAGTGACACTCACTCTAGGATCTCGTTGTATTCAATCGTCTCCTCCAGGTTCTGAAGGTTGGGGTTGACACTGCGGATTGCACGCATGTATGCCTTTAACAGCTGGATGTCTCGCTTCTGTTGGAGGGAAGGAGAACCAGGGATGATAGTTTAGGCAGACAAGATCTGAGAACCAAGGCAACTGAAAGATCTGAGAAACATGAGACTGTTAGCTTCAGGAAAACAAGAATAGGACTATCTCATTTCCAGCTGTCTCCCCAATGCTTAGCAAAGTGCCTTTACAGAGAAGGCATTTGATAAATGTTAGGTGAATAAATGACATGAAGGGATGAAGGGAAGTCAAATACCCACTCACCAGGGCTCACAAGCACAACCACAAATCCAAGTGTTCACAGTGGTGTCTGTAACCCATAGGCATGCAGTTATTTGAATATGAGGCAAATGTTCTACCCCATGTTCTCTGAGCCCTACCTGTTCCGCCAGCTGGTGTTTATGTTCAGCTGACGTCTTCTCCAGCTCTGCAATACGTGTCTGCTGCTGCTGTACCACGGAGCGCAGGTGCTTAATGCAGTTGTGGTTTGGCAGCTCATCTTTGGGCATCTCCAGGCTGCAGTCCAAAGTAGAGAAAGAGCAGAACAGGCCCTTTCAATGGGTCATGTAGGCAAATGGCCTATTCAGTGGCAGAAAACTGATGAGTGGGATATCTCCTATCCCAGATATCTAACATTCATTTCAGGCCTTCCTTTGTTTATTCCATTAACCTTCTTCCCCCAGACTTCTTCCTTCCCCTTTGCTCTACTTTATCTGAATTTCTTTCATCCTTTAAGATATAGTACTATGGGGATTTTTTTCCTTTTCTTTTTTTATTATTTTCTTGTGCCTTTCATAGCCACTCCTACTTAGTATGGCCCTCCTAATCTGAGAGGGGGATTTCTAGGTACATTGCTAAACCACCCTGTTAAAACCGAGTACAGGGAAGCAAGAAAGGTAAAAGCCAGGACAAGAAAAGACAAGAGTGTTTTATCAATCATATGTTTTTTTTCTCCTATAGATTCTGCCTGTGCACTTATTTATTCTGAGAAATCCTAGATTCACTACCCCTGCTATCAGCATTTAATCAAATATTTCTACCTCAAAAAAAGAAAAAATAGGGCAGAAGAGAGAAGCCTGGAAATTACAGCAGTCAGCCTGACGAATAGAAAGCATTATGAGCCTAAAAGGGAAAAACAAAGTAAATCAATTTTTAGTGTTATCACCTAGATTGCTGAATTGCTGTCCTCTTATTAAAACAAAAACAAAAAGATCATACTTAGAAAGCAGCAAGAAAGTGAGATTTGGGCTGGGGATGTGGCTCAAGCGGTAGTGCGCTCGCCTGGCATGCGTGCGACCCGGGTTTGATCCTCAGCACCACATACAAAGAAAGATGTTGTGTCCGCCGAGAACTAAAAAATAAATATTAAAAAAAATTCTCTCTCTCCCTCTCTCTTTAAAAAAAAAAAAGAAGAAGAAGAAGAAGAAAGTGAGATTTGGGGCAGAGAACTGAGAAGGTCAGGTATGTCTGTGCCTACATACACAGAAAACCTCCTTAGCAAGTGGGCAGGGCATCCAGATTCAGGAACAAAAATGAGAACCCTTTATCAGTGTAGGGCAGAGGGGAAGGAATCTCACCCGCAGCCCTGTTCACAGGTCACAGGCCGCTTTGGGTTGTGCTCACAGTCACTGAGGTGAGACATGAGGTTGTCAAGACGGACAACAGCACTACAGCCAAACACAGCGTTGTCACAGGCAATCTGCAGCTTTGACAACATGTTCCGCATGATCCGAGGTACTGGGCGCAGGTGGGCAACTGTCACAACGCTACGGTCCACTGGACAGGTCTGCTGCTGAGAGAACCACTGGGTGATACAGGCGTTGCAGAAAGCATGCTCACAGTGAGGTGCCTAAGAAGAGAAAACAAAGGAAGAGGGACACAAGGAAATTAGCAGGAGCTAAGAACCTGGATATAACTACAAAAACAATTGAGCCTTTGAAAAGCTTCTAGAACCAAAGGTCCCTAGGGTCACAGCAAATTATAGATCTACTATGGGCAAGGCATTTTGGGATCAGGCTTAAGATATATTTCCTGTGCTCAAGAATACAAATGGGAGTCGGATGCAGTGGTGCACGCCTGTAATCTCGAGTTCAAAGCCAGCCTCGGCAAAAGCAAGGTGCTTAGCAACTCAGTGAGACCCTGTCTCTAAATAAAATACAAAATAGGGCTGGGGATGTGGCTCAGTGGTGGAGTGCCCCTGAGATCAATCCTTCGTACAAAAAAAAATATACAAACTGCTCAATAGGTGTAGTGGTGCACGCCTGTGATCCCAGATACTTGGGAGGCTAAGGCAAAAGCATCAGCAATTTAGTGAGATCCTATCTCAAAATAAAACAAAAAAAAGGGATTGGGATGTGGCTCAAGGGTTAAGCACTGCTGGGTTCATTCCCTGGTTCCAAAAAATAAAAAAATAAAAAACCAAACAGGTTGTGAGACAAGACAAACAAGTAAAAAGTTATATAACAATAAGAGATATAAATAACATTCCAGGACAATAGGAGATGACATAAGACAATTATTGTCGACTGGATTGCACATATAATAATTGGCAAATAAATAAAGACCAGAGGAGGGTGAGATCTTTCCAGACTAGGTCAATCATAGCAGATTATTTATGGAGAAGCCAAAATTTGATATGAATCTTTTTTTTTTTTAAATATTTATTTTTTTTAGTTTTTGGCGGACACAACATCTTTGTATGTGGTGCTGAGGATTGAACCCGGGCCGAACGCATGCCAGGCAAGCGCGCTACCGCTTGAGCCACATCCCCAGCCCCTGATATGAATCTTGAAGGATGATTCAGATCACAGATCTGGAGAAGAGGGAGAAAAGATTTACTGGTAGAGGATCAGTATAAGAGAGCAGAACAAGAAATGCCTGGGACTCCTGTTGAGAAGTAAGAAACCTCTCTACATAGATCCAAGTTGTTATTTTATATAAGAAGGCTGACCTTAGGAGTTGCCATGAGTCCCAATAGACACACTTAAACTCCTCAACAGGGCCTTAGTTTTCTATAAATTACTGAATATCTTCTAACTGGATTTCCTACTCCAAACTTGGCCCTCCCCCAAAAGACTTTTAATTAATTTATTTTGAGATAAGTCTCACTGTGCTGCCCAACCAAGCCTTGAACTTGCAACTCTCCCACCTTAGCCCTCCCAGTAACTGATATTTACAGGTAAACACTGAACCTGGTTACCCTCTTCCCTTTATAATCCATTCTGCATTTAACAGCCAGAAAAAGCATTTAAAAATGCAAAACCCCAACTGTGGTGGCACATGCTTGTAATCCTCGGGAGACTGAGGCAGTAGGATCTTGAGTTCAAAGCCACCCTCAGCAAAATGAAGAGGTAAGCAACTCAGTGAGATCCTATCTTGAAATATAATACAGAATAGGGCTGGGGATGTGGCTCAGTGGTCAAGTGCCCCGAATTCAATCCCCAGTAACCAAAATTAAAAATTAAAATGCAAACCAAACCATATCATTCCCATGCTTAAAAATTTACAATGGGACTGGGCATGGTGGTGCATGCCTGTAATCCAGTGGCACGGGAGGCTGAGGCAGGAGGATCTCAAGTTCAAAGCTAGCCTCGCAACTCAGTAAGGCCCTAAGCAACTCAGCAAGAACCTATCTCTAAATAAAATACAAAATAGGGCTAGGGATGTGGCTCAGTGGTCAAGTATCCTCCCCAAAAAATATTTACATTGGAGGCTCCACAATAGAGCACTTGCCTAGCACACATGAGCCTCTAGGTTTGATCCTCAGCACAACAACAACAATAAATTTCTTTCCACGGTTTCCCACTGTACTTAAAATAAATCTAAACTCCTACTTAGGACCTATAAAACTCTGCCTAATCTGGGCCTCTGTCTCTGACTCTCACCTTATGTCATATTCCCAGCAATGTTCAGGCCATTTTGGCTTTCTCTCTGTTCCTTGACCATACCAGCTCATTTCTGCCCCAGAACTTTGTGTATGTGCACATGTATGAGAGTGGAGAGCAAGGGAAGGAAGGAGGAGACAGGGAGGGGAAAAGGAAGAGAGAGACAGGCAGACACAGACACACTAGAGATTGAACCCAGGGGCGCTTTACTACTAAGTTACATCCCCAGTCCGTATTTTTATTTTTTATTTTGATGGGGTCTTGGTAAATTGCTCAAGCTGGCCTCAAACTTGTGATCCTCTTGCCACAACCTCCTAAATCCCTGGGATTACAGGCATGTTTCATCACATCCAGCTAGAACCTTTCTTTTTATTTTTCTTAATATTTATATTTTTTTTAGTTGTAAATGGACACAATACCTTTATTTTATCTATTTATTTTTGTGTGGTGCTGAGGATCAAACCCAGGGTCTCGCATGTGCAAGGTGAGTGCTCTGCTGCTGAACCACAACCCCAGCCCCTAGAAACTTTCTTTTACTGCTACTCTGTTTAAAATTAATGCCTTCCTGCAGATCGCAACATGAAAGCCCCTTATCATTCAGGTCTTGGTTTAACTATCAACTCTTTTTTATTTATTTATTTACTTATTTTTTGTAGTGCTAGGAATTAAACCCAGGGCCTTGTGAGTGCAACGCAAGCACTCAGGCAACTGAGCTATATTCCCAGCCTTCTCTTTTTTTTTTCTTTTTTCTTTTTTAGAGCATCATAGTTATACATAATAGTTGGGTTCATTTTGATAAAATCATACATGCAAGGAACTTGATTTCAATTCCCATTCCCCCATTTTCCTCTCCTCCTCCCTTTCCCCGTCTCCCCCGCTCCTCTACTTTACTGGACTTCCTTTTGCTCCTTTATTTATTTATTTTTGATAGGTACTTTCTACATATACATTACGCTGAAATTCCCTTTGATATATTTATATATACACATAACATGATTTTGTTAGGGGTTTTCCATATTTCCTCCCTTTTTCCATCCTTCCTTGCTCCCTCTTATTCATCTTCTTCTACTCCTCTGATAAAAGATTTATTTATTTATTTATCTATTTTTAAAGAGAGAGAGAGAGAGAGAATTCTTTTAATATTTATTTTTCAGTTCTCGACGGACACAACATCTTTGTTTGTATGAGGTGCTGAGGATCGAACCTGGGCCGCACGCATGCCAGGCGAGCGCGCAACAGCTTGAGCCACATCCCCAGCTCTGATAAAAGATTTATGATATCTGATCCCCAACTCCCACTGCCTTCTTTCTCTTACTTTGCTTTATCTACCACATATGACAGAAAATATTCAAACCTTGATTTTCTGACTCTGGCTTATTTCACTTAGCATGATGTTCTCCATTTACCAGCAAATACTATTATTTCCATCTTCTTTATGGCTAAAACTCCACTGTGTATATATACTTGATATATATATTTCCTGATTCACTCATCTACTGATGGGCATCTTGATTGATTCCATAATTTGGCTATTGTGAATTGCAACTCTCACCTCTTCAATGATTATCCTAATTCAAACCCACCATTGCTACAGAAGTGTACAGAATGAGCAACCTTTTATAGAGTTGTATACTCCCCACACACATCTATCTAAATACTCACTGGAGGGATACCAAATAAGATTTTTTTTTTTTTTTGAGAGAGAATTTTAATATTTATTTATTTATTTTTTAGTTTTCAGCGGATACAACATCTTTGTTGGTATGTGGTGCTGAGGATTGAACCAGGGCCGCACGCATGCCAGGCGAGCACGCTACTGCTTGAGCCACATCCCCAGGCCCCAAATAAATTAATAAAAATAGGTAGACAGGGACAAGGACAGAAGTGAGAATTCTCACTATTTTTTTTTTTTTTTTTTTGGGTACCAGGGATTAATCAGGAGTGATTAACCACTGAGTCACATCCCCGTCCCTTTTTTTGTATGTATGGTGCTGGGGCCTATGCATGTGAGGCAAGCACTCTACCAACTGAGCTATATCCCCAGCCCTTTTGTTTTATTTTGAGATAGGGTCTTGATAAGCCACTTAGTGCCTCACTAAGTTGCTGAGGCTGGTTTCAAATTTGGAATCCTCCTGCTTCAGCCTCTAGAATTGCTGAAATTATAAGTGTGTGCCACCATGCCCAGCCATCTTTTTATACTATTTTTCTTTCTTTTCTTTTTTTTTTTTTTTGTGGTGCCCAGGATTAAAGGGATTGAACCCAGGGCCTTGTACTTGCGAGGCAAGCACTCTTATCAACTGAGCTATATCCCCAACCCACTATTTTGATTTCTTAACCATATAAATGTAATACCTATTCCAAAAATAAATAAAGAGCTGGGGGCTGGGGTTGTAGCTCAGTGGTAAAGCACTTGCCTCATACATGTGAGGCACTGGATTCAACCCTCAGCACCACATAAAAATAAATAAAACAAAGATATTGTGTCCATCTACAAATAAAAAAATTTTTTTAAATATTTTATTTTGGTTAGCAAGTGATGTGGATAGCAACAGAATGTGATGGATATCATTATCCAAAGTATGAAGACACAAACTGGTGTGAACATACTTTATATACAACCAGAGATATGAAAAATTGTGCTATGTATAACAAGAATTGAGCAACCTTTTGTATAGAGTTGTTTTCCACTATCATTTATTTGAAAAATCAATTAAAATATTTTGTTTTAGTTGTAGTTGGATATAATACCTTTTTCAAAAAATTTATTTTATGGGGTGGGGATGTGGCTCAAGCGGTAGCGCGCTCGCCTGGCATGCGTGCGGCCCAGGTTCAGTCCTCAGCACCACATACCATGTTGTGTCCGCCGAAAACTAAAAAATAAATATTAAAATTCTCTCTCTCTTTAAAAAAAAAACATTAGATATAAAAAAATTTTT